TAATATTCTACGAAATGGCTTGACATAAATAGCCTATTATTTACATTGTTCTTGCTCTTAATTCCATTTATAATAGACAGTCAGAATTTACTTGAAGTACCTCTTTGCTACCCATTAAGTTAATGAATAAACATAATGAAACCTGATGATATTTTCTTGTTTTGCAGAGTACGTTATATTTTATACTTAGTTTATACAAGGTGTTAACGAAATAAGTACTCAAATTTGAAGAATATGTAAAACATGTCGAAATATAATGAAAACCTTAGTAGAGTTTTTGTCAGTGGCTGCCCCTAAGGGAGATACAGCCCCTTGAAGGGGTAACTCAGGAAACTGTGTTTCTCCAATTTTGAATACTTATTTCGTTAACACCTTGTATACCTCAAACAAACGAAATATGCAAATTAAAAAGGACGCAATCCACAAGATTATAATGCATCTTGAAAACAATCTGGAAATCATGTTATAGGCGGATATCTCACACTTAAATTTAGCAATTTGAAAATTTCTGAAATTGGTTTAATATATATTTGACTCAGAAATTTTGCAGGATATTTAAAGTTTTTCTAAAATTATTTCTTTTTATTGTTTTTTAAAATATTATTACTTACATAAAATTCGGCTCAGGAAAGTGACGGGACTTATAACGGGACACTGTTACCTCAGGAAACATCTATTAAAGATGACGCTTGTAGATAGTCCGGTCTACCGAGGGTGTGATTCGGCAGATGAAACCTCTCTGCAGATCCTTAGCGAGTGCTTAGGATTTGCACGTAGTAGAATGACGCTCCTGGGAAAACCCTTTCTGGAATCCAAGGATCTGGGAGAAGTGGATGCAAGGAAACTTTTGCACTTTATAAAAAGGACAAAACTACTTACTGACTAGAACTAAACAGAGGGACGCACAATAGGCCTGATAAGGCCGCGGTACTATGGGACTTGAATAGAACCAAATCACTGGTGTAAGAAGAAAAAAAATGTGAAAAAATGTCAAACCATGAACAAAAAGACAAAATTTTACTAAGATCCTCTAATTATATGCGCCCTGAATTATATATGATTCATAATAGTTACAAGTACAAAAGAAAAAAAGTGAAATTTTGAATATAATAAAAAAAAACTTAGGAATTTCAACTTAAACACTCTGTATGTCGCAAAACTAATCATTGCCTGGTCCATATTTATAGGAACTTTTTCCGAATCTGAGTCGTTCTCTCGCTATATCTATAGGCAAAATTTGCCTTATGCAATTCGTGACAGACTGTATTCGATGTATTTCAGTTTAAGTGAATTACACTTTAATCAAAAATAGAACTCAACAAAATATTTAAATTTTTTTAATATTTCGTATTGTTTTCTGTTTATAGGTCCGTATTGGTTGATTTTTAAAATCATATTTTTTCTAATACCTTTTAAACCAAGTTTGGACTAGTGTTACTGCATAATTTAGTGTATTTTTATGGAATTTTTAAAATACATAAGCGTATATGTATGAGGAAGGGGTGAAACTTTTCTTAACCAATTTTTACTTCAATGGCGTAAACTTAATTTGAAACTTTTAATCATGTCTCGGACACCTACAGTTAAACTGAATAAGTCCAATGGCGTACAAATGTCATTAAAATAAAATAGAAATAATAAACTTGATAATAACCATGTTGACTTTTTAATTTTTATGTAAAAAAGTGCTGAATAAATAAGTTGTACCTGTCAGCTAGAAGAAAGTTGTATGGTGATATTAGTCCAATTAAATAAGCCTTTAAATCGAAATTTTGATCAACTTTCCTGAATTTATGATATGAGTTAGTTTGAAGTATTTCAATTTTGTTTCATTTCAAAATATTTTTTGGGGGGCGAACTTTGAGGGTGTATTTCACCCCGTAAATATGTTTTTCCGCCGATAAAAAAATACTTGGCTCTTTAAATTTTTTTAGAGTAGATTGAAAAAAAATACAAAATTCATTTGTTTTTCTGCTTGTTATGATTTTTTTAAATTTCTGAAATCTTCTTTCTAGCCTCCCTAAGTCCGTTAATTTTAATAGTACAAGAAAAAGTCAAGATGCCATTTTTATGTAGAGCTGTATACTTTACAACTTTTATAAGAAATTTGCCCCTTTTGAGTTATCTTGAAAAACTCCTTTGTTTTATCTTTTTTCACCCTTGGCCGGGGGTTGAACAAAAAATTACTGTCACTTATTGTTACAATATACCTCAAACTAACTCATCAAAAATTCAGGCAAGTTGGCCAAAATTTCGATTTAAAGGCTTATTTAATTGGACTAATATTAAATTTTACACAATGATTTAAAAAGCGTGAGAAACAAAACCATGTGGGTGACAAGATGGGTCCCAAGATATTTTNTCATTAAAATAAAATAGAAATAATAAACTTGATAATAACCATGTTGACTTTTTAATTTTTATGTAAAAAAGTGCTGAATAAATAAGTTGTACCTGTCAGCTAGAAGAAAGTTGTATGGTGATATTAGTCCAATTAAATAAGCCTTTAAATCGAAATTTTGATCAACTTTCCTGAATTTATGATATGAGTTAGTTTGAAGTATTTCAATTTTGTTTCATTTCAAAATATTTTTTGGGGGGCGAACTTTGAGGGTGTATTTCACCCCGTAAATATGTTTTTCCGCCGATAAAAAAATACTTGGCTCTTTAAATTTTTTTAGAGTAGATTGAAAAAAAATACAAAATTCATTTGTTTTTCTGCTTGTTATGATTTTTTTAAATTTCTGAAATCTTCTTTCTAGCCTCCCTAAGTCCGTTAATTTTAATAGTACAAGAAAAAGTCAAGATGCCATTTTTATGTAGAGCTGTATACTTTACAACTTTTATAAGAAATTTGCCCCTTTTGAGTTATCTTGAAAAACTCCTTTGTTTTATCTTTTTTCACCCTTGGCCGGGGGTTGAACAAAAAATTACTGTCACTTATTGTTACAATATACCTCAAACTAACTCATCAAAAATTCAGGCAAGTTGGCCAAAATTTCGATTTAAAGGCTTATTTAATTGGACTAATATTAAATTTTACACAATGATTTAAAAAGCGTGAGAAACAAAACCATGTGGGTGACAAGATGGGTCCCAAGATATTTTGTCTCAATTATAGCATACTGATAGGAACTTCTTTTCCTTCTTATACCTGTGGTTCGGTTCTATTCAAATCCCATAGCACCGCAGCCTTAGCAGGTATATTGTGCGTCCCACTGTTCAGTCCTGTTCAGTAAGTAGTTTTGTTCTTTTTTCGAAGTCCAAAAGCTTCCTTGCCGATACTTCTCCTAGCTCCTTGGATTCCAGAAAGAGTTTTCCCAGGAGCGTCATTTTACTACGTGCAAATCCACTCGCCCAGGATATGCAGAGAAGTTTCATCCAGTGTTCCGTGATTAATCCCATCATTTTCCTGAGCCGAATTTTATTCAAGCTCAACAACTAATTCGTTTTTTCCTCAAAGCACACTCCATAAGTCCCTTCGCATGGCTTTGCCTAGGCTTGGAAGTCTAGCATTTTCTATATTCTGATTCAGTTTATTTGCTCAGTAAACCATACCCTGCTCCATCTTTCCAGGGTATCAGATTTTTCCTGATGGGATCTAATAAGTTACAAACCAGTATAATGATTCTGGTGACGAACTAGTTTAGCTGTTTACTAGATTCGCGGGTGTAATTTATTTTTGGATGGGCTGTAGCCCACAAAATCAGTAGTTAACAACAAAATAATATTTTTTTAACTTAATGTTCATCAAATATGAATAGAGAATAGAGATGAATTTAGATTCGTTACACTTAGAGGCATGTTGTAATAGCAATAGCTTCGTTACCATGAAAGGCAAATCCGTTATACATTATATCTCTGTAGTCCTGAAAAATCTTTCTATTCAATGGAATAATATACAGAGTGTTTACAAAAATAGTTTGTCACGGATTTGAAAAACACGAAAGCCCTAATTGATAGCTACAGCTATAACTTTGTTAGTTAGCACATGGGATCGTAACATTTCGTTGATGTGACAACTGGTGGGATGATATGATGTGATGATACGCTGTTGTGAGAAGGGGTTCCGATTTTATTACGCGTGACGTTACTGTGTTATAGTAGGCTGACTAACTTTTTTCGTGACGGAACAATGTTACGATGTGATGAGGTTTAAGTGTGTCCAGATATGCCAGTCGTGTCGAGACATACAATAGTGCATGGTGACAAAACCCCACCATATTTTTTGTTACGGGATGATGCTACGGTGTGAGGTATTGAGGTGTAATAGAACATCGCCACGTAACATCGGTGCAGAACATTATATTGCAACTTATATACTATTTATTGACAAAGTAATAAAAATATTATTTATTGACAATTTATTTCCGTTCAACATTTATTTATCATTGTAATATCTGGGATGCTTGGTGCTTCACAGAATTTCTTTCCCGCGATAAATCTCAGTAAAATGAAAAATCGTGACATTCACACCTGTTGGGCTCTAACATTCTTTTGATATGTCGGGAAAATACAATGCCGCGATATTATGCTATCCTGTCTTGTATGTCTACACGCACCTAAAAAGATGTACAGCTTACGGAACGCTGCAATATTACGAAGTTACGATGTTACATCCGGACATGATACGCGACGGTGTTCTGTTACTGTGTTTTGTTGCATGTTTGGACGTACCTTAAAAATGTATTCAGACTTGCAACAGAACATCGTAACGTAACACTGTCGCGCAACAATTTGCTGTAACCTGCGGTATTATGTAAACTCACATAGATAGGAATAATTAAAGCAAGACGAACAAATTTGTTGTACTATAGATAGTTACTAATCTCAATTTTGAAGAAAGATACAAAAGTTTGAGTAGTATTGTTATAGAAAAATTATAAGTATGTTATGTAGTGTTATGTAACTTCAAAAGTTATGAGACCCTCTCTTAATAACCATTAAATTAGTTTTAGTAACCTAACCTAACGTTAAATATCTTCTCTCGTTTGTTACAGAACGTGCTCTTGAAATATGCGATTTCGATAACATGCCGGCCGTCCCAAAGATGAGTGGTCGGCGCCACCTCAGCAAGTCGACATCAGAGTTGAGCAGCCCGAGGGAGATGCCCGAACACCGGCCCAGGTCTGCTGCTCCACCCGAAATCTCACACCTTTCCGTATACCAAAAAGCACATAGTTTTTTCGCACAATTGAAAGTAAGTTAGAATGCAACGCAGATGTCTATATATAGTTTGCTTTGTATTGCATAGATTCCTTCCTGTTTGCACTAGTTAGACAGCGTAGGATAATTCACTAAAGGGTTCAGAAGACATTTTGCTTGATCTGATCCAAGTACATTAGCTTGGGAGGTATATTTCANTTTTATTTTTAATTTTTAATTTTTAATTTTTAATTTTTAATTTTTAATTTTTAATTTTTAATTTTTAATTTTTAATTTTTAATTTTTAATTTTTAATTTTTAATTTTTAATTTTTAATTTTTAATTTTTAATTTTTAATTTTTAATTTTTAATTTTTAATTTTTAATTTTTAATTTTTAATTTTTAATTTTTAATTTTTAATTTTTAATTTTTAATTTTTAATTTTTAATTTTTAATTTTTAATTTTTAATTTTTAATTTTTAATTTTTAATTTTTAATTTTTAATTTTTAATTTTTAATTTTTAATTTTTAATTTTTAATTTTTAATTTTTAATTTTTAATTTTTAATTTTTAATTTTTAATTTTTAATTTTTAATTTTTAATTTTTAATTTTTAATTTTTAATTTTTAATTTTTAATTTTTAATTTTTAATTTTTAATTTTTAATTTTTAATTTTTAATTTTTAATTTTTAATTTTTAATTTTTAATTTTTAATTTTTAATTTTTAATTTTTAATTTTTAATTTTTAATTTTTAATTTTTAATTTTTAATTTTTAATTTTTAATTTTTAATTTTTAATTTTTAATTTTTAATTTTTAATTTTTAATTTTTAATTTTTAATTTTTAATTTTTAATTTTTAATTTTTAATTTTTAATTTTTAATTTTTAATTTTTAATTTTTAATTTTTAATTTTTAATTTTTAATTTTTAATTTTTAATTTTTAATTTTTAATTTTTAATTTTTAATTTTTGTGTAATTTAATTTAGTGTATTTTGTTTATTATGTATTTGTTATGTAGTATAGTATATGATTTTTGTAATGCGTAATGATTAAATATTTGTTTGGGCGCCTTTTGTTGTGTAGAATGTAATTTTTGTGTGTCGAAATCAAATTTTTTATTGGATGCAGGTTCTCATGATAAAGTTAAACAATAACAATGACAAATTTCTACGAATTGTTCTTTCTTACCTTGGTTTTGCTAATCTCTCCTCCGGCAGCTTTATCTTGCATAAATAATATTAACAATGTACATTTTATTACAGTGTAGATAGGAATGTTTAGTAATCAATGATACACTGTCCCTCAAAAACACTTATTCAGAATACTAGCACGAGTTCTTATCTCAGAGAAGCGGTTCAATATTATTCAAATTTACTATCACTATTGATTTGAGTAAGAAGCACTGAATGAAAGCAAATTTTTAACGATTTTAACAATATGACATTTATTGAATATTCATTTTTAAAAATCCGAACAATATTTTAAGAAACACAGAAACTAGATTTGTTATGGACTTTTACATGAATAAATAATTGATAAAATTCTTTACTCTACCTAACATGATTTAGAAAATGTTTGGTTAACCAATTAGTACTGTTTTAAATGTACTACGGAACAAATTAATTTAAATTAAGAACACAGAAACTTAACTAATCCTTATACTATGAAATGTTCAAAAATATGATTTTAATTTCTATCACTGATATTGTCTATGGTTTGAAATGAAGTTTTCGAATTCACAAAATGTTTTTACTTCGAATTCGCAAACACTTTAATTTAGGTTTTGGAGAGTATGCTTAGGCAACTGGACTTGCATTTTCCATTATCTCAGCGGTGGAATGTTCAATCGTCACTCTAACCTCGCTTTTAGTCGTGGTTTGACAGCTGTTCTCGTCTCTTGTAGATGGTTTTTTTTGTGTGAGTTGGTTGCTTCTTGGTTTTATACGATGTTATTTCGGGAGCTACAGGATAACATGCACCCCTAACCTGTGCCTGGGAACAACTAGTTTCTCTTCCAACTTGTTTACTTCGAAACGATGCTGTGTTGTTTTCCGTTAGAAGGTAAATTTTCTGATTTGTCCTTTTCTTATTTGTCAGTTGTATCCATGAGATATTATTTTCTAACTGCGCACTTTCTCTCCAACATATTGCGATGTGACTTTATTTTATTTAAATTACGGCGTAATTTGTATTTTGTAACTGCGTAGTAAATTTTTTACATCTTAAAACTAGTTTACAAGAAATTTTTATATGACATTCTGCATGACAATTTTTATAATAAACTTCTAGCCTATGTGTTTTTCTGATACTATAATATTTGAATTTTCTTTTGTACTAATTTATTTAACGTTTATTTAATTGTAAAATTGTTAAATTGGCCTTTCTTGTGGCAGTTTTCTTTTGCTTTCATGCTTCCACTTCGATCCTAAACTTTATCTTTTCCAACATGCTTCTCTATTAAAATGTATTAGTCAAATTTTGAATGATACTATTTTAATTTTGATATGAAATAACTATGAAATGAGATTTTTATTTTTCTTTAAAAGTAACTTATGTCTTTCTTATAGTCTACATTATAATTTCATGAATTTTTCTCTACTATTACTCGGTGTCGTGTTCTGAAACACAGTGTGTTCATTTCAACATATAGCGTGGACAATAAGTAATGGCATATGGAGACATACTACTTTTGTATAAAATGTCCTATTTGATCCCAGGAATTTGGTCCTATCATGTTATAATCTAAGAGGAAATTTCAGATATCTATCTAAAAAGTGGTAATCTGGCAACAATGGACCATGTCATTTTACTTTGGGGTGCCAAATTTTTCATTAATCGGATATTTTATACATACAATACAAAATATGTAAAGAAGATTTTTTTAAACTATATGACCATATTAAGGTGGCCATATCCCTGGCCGAGAAATAGCCAAATTTCTAGCGTTTTTAGGTACTGAAATCTTGAAAAGTAAAATGTGTAGAACAAAAGTAAGTACAAAAATCCTTGATGTTCTGTTTATTCATTGATACTATTTAAATTTACTCGAATAAAATAATAACTTAAAAAAAGCGTTTGTAAAACATGCATTTACTGTTATCCTAATCCCACATTTTAAGAATTATTTTCATGTATTTATAAATAAAAGTAAATAATTTTATATGCAAGTAAATGTTAAAAGAATATTTACATGTGGAGTTATATATAAAAAGTTAGTATTTTCGTAGATTTCAGTAAGTACCTAAAACCTTGACGGTTTGATCGTTTTTTGCACCTGTTCATTTGTTTCACTGCGGCGTCTTTGAAAATACTCAGATGGCATCACATAACATTCCTATTATTTTATAAGCTTTAGATTATTCAGTTATTAAATGTTTGAAATTATTTGTCTTTGTGGAAAACATTATTTAAAGAACACGGCGCCCTTAAGAACATAATTTCTCCACATAAAAAAGCTTATGCTGATAACAGGGACAACTTCATTATATTTTAAACATCGCTGATATTTAAAGCATTTTGAAAATTTGAGAACAGATCATCTTAAAATTAATGCTAAGATAATATGTTGGTTTTTAATGAAGATGCTAGGAATGCATTTTCACACATACCAGATCATTCAGGTGGATTTTACATGCACATACATCACATCAAACGCTGAAGTAGGTAGTTGATAGAAACGTGTTTTAGGTGTTTTCCGTTTTATGGCACCATCATTTGCCGTCAGAATGAGTTTTACAATAACGTGATGCTCAGTAATGTGAGTAAATTTAANAGTAAGTTAGAATGCAACGCAGATGTCTATATATAGTTTGCTTTGTATTGCATAGATTCCTTCCTGTTTGCACTAGTTAGACAGCGTAGGATAATTCACTAAAGGGTTCAGAAGACATTTTGCTTGATCTGATCCAAGTACATTAGCTTGGGAGGTATATCTCAACACTCAGAAAACAGTGTCAGTGAAAAATTCACACAATTGTTCCTAAAATCGCAATTGAAACAAATTATATTAAACTTCGAGACAATATTATTTGAAAAATTGAGAAAACCTACCATTTATTGATAATAATTTCACAATTGAGAAAACAATTACAAATAAATATGGAAATTTTACACAATTTGTTCCTGTCAAGATTTTAGGAACAATTGTATGAATTTCCATGACAATGTTATTCGATAAAACGTAACAAAAGTCCACGTTTCAAGTTCGGAAAGTTGTTTGTTGGATTATTTTAAATACAAAAGCTTTAGTACTCTAGGTAGCTATAGGTGTCGAAATTTTGACAGGCTTCATGTTTACTTCAACGTTTTACACTGTATGTTCTTTCTACATGACCATTCCTATAGTATTTATACGAATTGTTTTTAAGTTTAAGAGGATATGACTGATCTAATAAGGATAATAATTACGTTGGTTCCAGATTGCTACTCTCTCAGATTGAGCACACTTTTTTGCTTATTTGGATACATAGGCCATGGCATAACAAACCCGAAAAATTAAATAATATTAGAGAAATATGACCAAAGGCTTGTTAAAAAGCGATGCAATCAAATTTTTGTTTTTAAAACACATCTTTTGTGTACATCTCCCTTCTTATTAAAGACAGACCCAAATCTTACATCAATGTTTTCTTAATATATACAGCGTGGACAATAAGTAATGGTCTATAGAGACATACTACTTTTGTATAAAATGTCCTATTTGATCCCAGGAATTTGGTCCCATCATCTAAGAGGAAATTTCAGATATCTATCTAAAAAGTGGNATACTACTTTTGTATAAAATGTCCTATTTGATCCCAGGAATTTGGTCCTATCATGTTATAATCTAAGAGGAAATTTCAGATATCTATCTAAAAAGTGGTAATCTGGCAACAATGGACCATGTCATTTTACTTTGGGGTGCCAAATTTCACATTAATCAGATATTTTATACATACAATACAAAATATGTAAATGTAGGTATAAAGAAGATTTTTTTAAACTATATGACCATATTAAGGTGGCCATATCCCTGGCCGAGAAATAGCCAAATTTCTAGCGTTTTTAGGTACTGA